CCGCTCATCACGACACGCGACGACGGACCACCGGCAAACCCGCACCTTGCAGGCAACACAGCAGCCACGCCCCCCGCCGATAAACAGCCGCGCGCCCCACTCCCCTGCACCTGTGACGTGCGCGCCGGATACCCTAACCGCTCGTGGATTCGAAAAAGCGAACGAACGAACGAATGAGGCGGATAAAACCGATGCCTTGCACAGTCACCTACACCACCGCAGCCCGCCGAGCCACCAACAGTGCGGTCACAGCACAGCAGACAACAGTAACTCGTTGACAGGAAGCGCACGATAGCACGCAGCAGCACCTGGAGCACCACCGCGCCGTCCACTCACCTATCCGCGATCGCGCCCACCTGATCCATCCCACCCACCTGTCGGTCAGCCAGCCAGCCAGTCAGCGGTGAAGCCAACTAACTGACCAATCGAGCGAGGAGGTGGAGGAGAAGGACTACCAGCCGGGCACGACTCGACCACGGCAGACTGGCAATCCCACCGGTCGTGGTGTTCGCCACGGAGAAAGTGCACTGACTGCAAGGCCCACAGACGAGTGGCATGCTCCGGCGCCCGTCCGACACGCATAGCACAGACCGCAACCTCGGATCCACCGACCACCCATTCCACCCCGCCCTCCGCATATTCACGCACCCACCCACCCACCCACTTACCTAACCACCAGTCCACCCACCGCAGGAGAGATAGGTGGACACACAGGCGGATGGATAGACAGACAGACAAACAGAGAGAATAGACGGCGGCCTGGTGAAGGAGAAACAGTGGCCCGCGATCGCAGTCATGCCCCAGCTCCTCTACAAGGAGCAGACCACCGCCTCTCTCCGGCCCATTAACGGCGACGCACTAGGCGCGCACACTACACTGCAGCCAGCTGAGTCCTCCCGGCTAGCAGCTTGACGCCACCCGCTTACCTGCGCGCGGTTTCACGCACTCTTTACTCTCTCTTCAGAGTACTTTTCAACTTTCCCTCACGGTACTTGTCCGCTATCGGACTCGTGCCTGTATTTAGCCTTGGATGGAGTTTACCACCCACTTTGGGCTGCAATCTCAAACAACCCGACTCCTGAGCCGGCCTGGTGAACCGCCTCACCTGCCTGAGCCTCCACTCCTACGGGCCTATCACCCTCTATGGGCCAAATTCACTCACAACCATACTCAATGCTGGACTTGGAGTGGAGCGGCGGTCCCGCCAGCCAACCCACACACCACATGGCCTACCGACAAACCTGCCGCAGGCTTCGGTACTGGGCTTCTCCCTCTTCACTCGCCGTTACTGAGGGAATCCTGGTTGGTTTCTTCTCCTCCGCTTATTGATATGCTTAAGTTCAGCGGGTACCCACCACTGATCCGAGGTCAGAAAACGAGTCAAGGCAAGGCTAGGCGAGGCGGGGCGTGACGCGCACCCTCCCACCCATCGCATTACACGTGCAACGCAGCATAACGATGCAAGTGCCTGCGGCGGCCGAGAGAAGAAAGCACGCCCCACCCACCCCAGCATCCACAATCCACATAACGTGTGCAACGTGCTCACACCTACACACACACACACATACACCTGCCCATCCGCACACTGGGCCACGGTCCGTGGACTGCGTAGACTGCAACCGCATCACCACCCGCCAACCTACTGGCACAACTGGCGTACACGCGCATCAACGCCACAGCACAGTACAACGGCTGACCGCACTGCAGTCGCTGCAGCAGCACAACCGCAAACTCCACGCCACCGGATTCGACAGCGCCAGCACACCTAGTGTGGAAGCCACGCCAGTCCGCACCGTGAGCCAGCCAACCGGCACACGCTCCACCCACCGCGCGCCACGGCACGGGACGGCACGGCACTCTCCCCAGCCACCGCTCGTTGCACACAGTGATGGTTTATAAGCCGACGCTCGGACAGACGTGGCCGCAGGCAAGCCTATGGCCGCAATATGCGTTCAAGATGTCGACGTTCAAAGCAGTCTGCGATTAACATTAATTCACACAGTTGGCTGCACTCTTCATCGACGCACGAGCCAAGTGATCCACCGCGCACAGTTAGTGAACTACTCCGTTGGTTGACACAGTCGCCCATCCACCCGCTTATCAGACTGACAAGCCGTACAGCTTACAAGGAGCAGCAGTCCTCATGACTCACAGCAGCTCTAGTCTCGGCGCACCGCGCACGTGCAACTGTCGCCATCCGCCCACCTATCCACCCACGCACCCACACTCCGAGCGAACGCGCAGGCAGGCACGCAGGAAGCAGCGGTCACCACACAAAACCGTGCAACAGCTCAAACGCACACTCGTGTAGAATGCATGGAGTACCACTAACCCGCGCTACAGCTACAGAGCACCTTTGCACCACCACATGCCAGCACCACCACCACTAAGGCGGCGGGAGACATGATGTCTGTACTGCTGCACGCCCCAGTCACGTCTGCTAAGGAGTCAACAACAACGGCCGCAGCATAAAGCAACGCAACACAGCAGCACACGCAGCGGCCACTCACGTAACACCACAGCCTGATAACACGACACATGACAGGGCGTGGACACGCACGCGACTACCAGCATCAGCACTGGCACTGCCGCCACCGCAGCGATCCAGGAGTCTTATGCCTTGCACACACGCGCATGCATGTGTACTCCTCTGCCGCCCCGGCATGGACCGGCCTCGTGCCACTACAACAGCAGCATCTGTCACACCACCACCAAATGGCACAAGTTGCAGCAATGCAGCGCGAGACGGGCACACCCGATTTCTAATTGCAGGTTGAAGGCAGACCAGGCACCCCATCGCAGCGATAACAACCACGATACATGACAGATTTTACGGTAGCGACAGCACCAACCACCGCCGTCAGCGCTAACAGCAGGCCAGCCAGCTACCCACCGATTGGGTAGGACTGTCTACAGGCACATGAGGAACGTGTAATGATCCTTCCGCAGGTTCACCTACGGAAACCTTGTTACGACTTTTACTTCCTCTAAATGATCAAGTTTGGTCGTCTTCTCAGCGACTGCAGGGCAATGACCTTCCGGCAATCGCCACAATGACGCCGATCCAAGGACCTTACTAAACCATTCAATCGGTAGTAGCGACGGGCGGTGTGTACAAAGGGCAGGGACGTAATCAGCGCAAGCTTATGACCTGCACTTACTAGGAATTCCTCGTTCACGGGGAACAATTCCAAGCCCCGATCCCTGTCACGACGGTGATTGACCAGTTTGCCCAACCCTCTCGGGACAGAAGGTCTCACTTGTTGACACCGTCATTGTAGCGCGCGTGCGGCTCCAGACACCTAAGGGCATCGCAGACCTGTTATTGCTCTATCTCGCGCGGCTTCTCCCGCTTGTCCCTCTAAGAAGTAAGCATTCGCGCCGCATCCGCAGGCCAACGCCAGACAAACCAACCACGAGCGTCAACCTGCACTCTCACCACCCCACCCCTCACTCTCACGAAGAAGCGCAAGAGGGGAGGAGAGGAGGGCGCATGATTTTCTGTATATCAAAAATAACAAGACTCATTTGTGCATTTTATAAACCAATATGCCTGTGTAAAATACTCCTTTCCCCATAGGCACGTAAATTCATTAACTTTTTACAAACCAGCTGTATAATGGTAATTTTTCGATCTGGGTGCATTTGCCATTAATCCTTAAGAGTAGATCATTTATGCGCACCACTTTTTACAATGAATTTTGATTATTTTGGCAACACTTTTCTCCCTTCGCATGTTCACGACTGGAGTCTCATAGGAAAAATTCATCGTCACAGCCCAGATACATTAGTGTTCTGATGCGACATTAGTTGCCATTAATGTTCCGCACCAGACTAAAAGTAATCCAAAAATAGAGCAGATTCGGTACCTGTTTTTGTGTCCAAAATCTCTTTACAGCGCATGAGTCGTTGTAATCGACTGCTACTGCTCTGGTAAAGGCTAAATGTCACCTCTATTTGACATGTGACCTCAGGTAAGAGAGTTGACGCGACAGGTCCATGTAATGCTGGTAGCAAACATGAAAAAGGTGTTATTTTATTTTTATGCTACGCCATTGAGTTGTCGTAAATGACCTTTAATGTCGCTGCCTCATCAGCAAAATAACTGTAACAAATAATATATAGCCCGGTTAGAGTCAAAATGCTTAACTCAATCATTTGAAAGCATATCGCCTTCCATTTTTACCACTGATGAAAAATTGTCCCCAGCATGATTGGGTGAAAGCGCTCAGCAACAAGGAATTGAGATCTAGGAATACAAAAAATTAGAAGAAACTTGGAGATCGCATAGAAGCAAGTTTATTTTCGGAATTTCTTATCAAGGTCAGGTAAGGTCGTTCATTCTGAGGAGTAAAGGGTCTTGAACGCACTATAGTGCACCAACGCACCTATTATTAATAAAACTAGATAAGTGCAGAAAACTCATTACCATTTTTAGTGTGTTAAAGTTGTTACAGGAGAATAGTTGAGTAACTTAACAGGCACCCAATTTGATAAAATCATTCCCTAAAATTAAGGGTTTTGCAGTGTAATTTCGAGAAAGAAGCCAAGGTGAAGCTCATTTATGGCACCTAAGCACCGTGAAAGTGCAGCTTTCAATATTTATCCTTTCTTCTGCTGCTTCCGCTATCAACACCACAAGGGAGAATGCCAGGATTGGACCGAAATTTGTACTTGGATGGTAGGAGGATTCTTGCCGAATAAGGTACCTGCACGAACGAGGTTCTCATAGGTGTCGGTCTACTGTCGAAGATTAAAGAGAACCTGCATGCTGCACTTCTTTGTCCACGTTTAGAGGATCTCCTTGACTTCAATAGTAGTGTAAAATTATTACAATTGACGTCCATTGACATCAGTCTTTAATATCGAGATAGCTGCCTTTCTGCGGAAAGGAAAGTGATCTGTAAAACGAATTGAGTTTGTTTAAGTCTTTCTCCCTTCCTAGTGACCGTAATGGTAAAGTGTCAAATGTATCTTTTACCTAAACTTGGCTGTTACGCACCACCTAGACGTTGAATTTTTGCATTTCCAAATGCAACTTTTGTGGTGAAAATGCTAGCTTGGCTTTCCTAATATTCGAATATTTATAATATTTTTGAATGAATATGAATCTCATAAGATTCAAAAGTGTCTTTTGAGACTATATCCGAACTAGTCATGTTCCTCTTCAGTAAGGTCACAATTTACTTTATTTTTTGTCTTTAAGGGTCACACCAGTTGATGCACAAACCATTTAGAGCGGCAAATCGCCCATATTCGACTCTATCCCTGCACTCACAGTCTCTCCGCCGTGTTTCGAAAAACAGGTTTTCCCTTATAACTCATCGCAGAAGTTAACTGATTTGCTAGGAGCAGAACATGGCCATCTCATAGCTGGCATGTCTTTTCTCCCCACCATTCTTTAGTGAGTTGGCATGCTTCGAACTTTAAAAGCAAAATATACAGCCACTGACTGTTATCCTTTGCAAAGATCAAGATGGGAAGGACTGTATATTTTAGAACTGTTATATTTAAGCAGAAACCCTTGGAACTTTTTACTGAGCCTCTTGAGCTGGGTTAATTCCAACTGAATTTCGACTCTTGACTGACGTGGCAAATGATCAGGTTCATCTTAAAATGAATAGAAACTGAATATCTTCCCCTCTTCTTTTTATTGCACTCAGTATAATGCCACCACCAATAACTTCCTCTTCCATGATACAAACTACTTTTTTGGCTTCAATACTCTCATCGAAATTGTATTATTTCGGTGGCAATTCATTGTCCTTTGGCTCATAACCGGTTTTTAAGGACTGATTTTAAAGGGAGTAGGAGTCGGGGAGGCAGAAGTGCTTTTAGCTGAATGCTACAGCTTAGATAAATGAGACAACATAAAAGAGGATAGTATAAGTGAATTCTAAAATCACACCTGCTTCTATGAAAATGGTTAGTAGAAATTTCTTTAATTTGTCTTTAAATGTCATCACTATATCTAAACTACTATTTTTTTTGCCTTTTTCATTAGACAATAGCAAGCTAAAGGAGTCAGCAGCTAGGCAACAAGAGATTGCAGATCAAGAATGCAGCGAATAGGCATCTCCCTTCAAAGCATGCTTCGGTTTCTAAATCATTGAGCAAGGAAGGGTATAATCATGAGCAAACATGCATTCCTTTCTCCTCCCCTCTACCTACAGTCGCTTCACTCTAAACTCGACTACGGAAGAAGCATATTACCAAACTTCTGGGAGTAAACTATCTATCGAAGATGTTTGTTTCATTTCACGATGCAGAGAAAATGATTATCTTTCCACGTGGTTGGCATTAAGTACGGAAGTGGAAGAATATCTGTAGCATTTTCAACAAGATCTGATGGATCGGTCCAAGCTCTCAACTTTAATGCAAAGTCAAAGGAAATTGATGATTTCTGAGAAAGAAGCTAGGACTTTAACCTCGCTTTACACTCATGCTTGCATCAAGAGCATGATATCAACTAGGAGCACTCACTCATCCCCTAGCCGAAGGACTAAAGTTAACATAGAGTCTGCGGAAAATGAAGAAGCAACTAGAGTTGGTGATCTGTTGGACGGGAATTTGCATCGGAAAGTGAACTCACCCTAAATATCTGCCAAACTGTTCAGAGGACGTGCCATGGGAGGATACGAGAGTACGCGTTCTACACCATCACCTGCAAGCCGCCCAACTGGCTGAGGAACCTGCAAGTCTGTAAGGCTTCAAAAGACTGCCATTATGTGTCTCTTGAGTCAGGATTCTGTACGTTGTGTTGAATTATCTCATCTACCAATCTCTAGGATTCGATTCGCTCGTTATTCTACAAGAACCTAATTTTTTTGATTTGAAAGATCATTTCTGCAATAGGTAATCGTTTGCAGCAGTGAGAACCTGTGACAGCAGCAATTTTAAGGGTGATGTCTCAGGAAGAATAAACACTTTCGCTGTCACTTTGATACAGCTTCCGTACCATTCACTGGCTTTAGCAACGCATACAATTGAGATACTACTTAAATTTTATACGCTGCTTTTCATTTTCTCTGCGTTTAACTCAGGCCTCGGTGTTGGTGGCGGCATTAAAATTCATTTTGTAAGTAGAAAGGCACTTTGCTGTAATTCTTGTAAGTTCCAGATCCATATAGTCATTCCCCGTATTCACGAAAACAGCAAAACGTCCAAGAGACAAACAGTCGTTCAAAGTGCTAATTGTCCCCAGAAATGACGATTATCGGCGTGAACTGGAAGCCAACATAATAAAGCCCACAACTGATGGCCATCAATAGGTTAAGCCACTCCAGTGCCTCACCGTGATTAGGTGTTCCAGCAACGTTTTCTGCTTGAAGTCTTTTGATAGTCAAATCTAGAATTTCTCCTTGGCTCGGATGCCTCTCGCATAATTTCACTGAAACCGCATTTATGGCACAATCCGAAAAGTTTTGATGCATTCAAATAATGACTAAAAATCTTTTGCGATGTTTCCTAAAGAAGGAGAGTAGGTGTAAAAGATTTACAAGTTAGGAAATAAAGGGGTGCAGAGTAATTCAGGGATTCGTGACTTAGAATAAACAGAATCCACGTCAACAATGCGTGAGTTAGCCAGTAGAGATTAAAAAACCTCCTATATTGAACTGACAGCTCAGATTTATCCACTTGATATGACGCAACCCATAATCTTCTTTTCTTCTGTTTTAATAGTCAGGACAACTAAATTAGTAGGAATAAAAGCATATTCTTACACAGAACTAAGGTTTAGGTCTCCTTACGTTACACAACAAGGGTTACACATGGAACAGTTTTGTCTTTAGGATGAGAGGAGGCAAATACTACCTCATCCTCACCATCAACCTTCAAATTTCCCTACTTTAATTCGTACTAGAAGTGCTTACGTCCTATTCTTGACATTTACATTTGACAATCATATGAGAAGTAGGTTGAGCAGTTCTTATGTAAAACGAGATAGTTAAAGTTTATTTGAGAAACAAAAACACCTTGAAAGCCGGAATTTGCAGCAAGGTTTGCGTTTAGTATAGGCATAACAGCAAACCGAATGGAGGTCATTTTGAAAATTAACATATTATGAGAGGCTTTTTAAGTTTTCTCGTTTTTTAATAAAAAACCAAAGAAGTGTTATTGGCTGTTCTATACGTATTTCAGAGTCTAGTTAAGATTTGCTTTGCTATTCCACTTTAAAAGGCACTTTTTTGACTGATTGACTAGCTTTTACTCTGCAATAAGAAAGCATAAAATTTGGGGTATATCACATCAAGTAGATAGGTCTTGATTGGAAATGCCTGGCTTTCAGCTATGCACCAAACACAATGCGACCTCAGCCTTATGGACAGTGATGCGCGTTTTATTAGTATGAGGTAAGTGGAGAAATACAAAGACCATTTTTATCAGAAATCAGCCAAAATGTACTTTGCAATGAATGGCAAAGTCTTATAATAGGCACAAAATTGATGATAAAAAATCAGCAGTTTGATGTTTTTTGCTTTGCTTTGTTCCCACCACGACTATTCCACCATCTCTTTGTTTCTCATGTCAAGAACTGATGAAACCTGTTTTGCGATCCCAGGCTAGGAGTACTACGTCAATAGAAAATATCCCATCCTGTTGGTAGCACCAGAGGGCCCTTTTAAACATAATGCACTCCGTTTTTTAAGTGAATTATCATCAAAACTAACCTTCATGCAATTCCTGGGTGGTACGCTCTCCTTCTGAACCTTTAAACTGGATGCATATTTATTAGAAATATTCTACAAATTGAGTTGAACCAACTCAAATTGACCAAATTTCTAAAAGAATCGGAACTAGCCAAAATTAGTAGAAAAGAAAAAGGTGTTTTTTTGCAAGAGTCTACCTACACCTTATGATAATTACGTGCAAAGAAGACCATACACTTGTGATCTTCCTGCATTTCAGGGAACTACATCGAAAGTTGAGGCAAAATTGTTAAGGGCCTGCTCTTGACACAAGTGACGTGACCATGGCCCTTCCTACCATCATGAAGACTCAAAAATCAACAAAAACAGCATTTTAAAGTGTTTACTTTATTACAATTTCTACGCAACAACATAATTTAGATTTCGAGGTCTAATAGCACTAAAAATGCATTTTTGGCATTAAAGTAAACATTTTGGCTTAGTTTTTCCAACGAATCCAAGTCAATTCTGAGAAAAAGAAAAATATTTGAATTCCTTACTATAGTCAGCAATATAATGCTACAGAAGCCATTGCTTTTACAGAGCAAAAGCGTTGAGAAGGAGCCCAGTTATTGTAACACACATTGCGACACAGAGGATAATAAGATTGCGCTTGCCCTTAAAATTAAGAGAGAAAATGAAGGTTAAGATTCAAGGGTGGGTAGATAATGATAACAAACCTTGATCTCCCTAAAAACGACTACACCCACCAACGTAGCAATGAGCGCCGGACATGTAGAAACAATGGGAAATGTGATAGGTTCACCCAGAGCAACATTAGCGATGAACCATGAGGACTGGGCCAGACCAAAGAGAATGCCACTAAGAATGGACGGCAGAATTGCCTGCTTAGCTGGGAACCAGGGTCGGTTGCACTTCACCAGAGCATAGACCACAAAGATGATGGTAGAAGCCGACCAGATTCCCACAAAGTAGGCGAAAACGTAGTCCAAGCCAGCTTGACTGGCGCCCTTTACCATACTCTGAATGTAGATAGTGGGAATAAAGGTGTTTCCATAGATGGAACCAGCCACAATGGCGAGAAAGACTCCACTAGTGAGGTGGAAGATGAACACTTTAAGTCACCTCTTCATCCAAGTTTAAAAAGATAGGAATTAACTAACAGGGCACGTCGAAAACCAGCGGGTAGATGCTGGATCAGAACACAGCCACAGGGGCAGCATTTATGTCCACCTTCAACATCCAGATTTGAGTTGCCTTCTTCATTGTCGGATATCTTATCTGCAGAAGGTTTAATAACGACACAGAGTGCAACACTATCTATTAATGATGGCGTATTTTAGTCCATCTACCTTATAACTGCAATCGCAACTCCGACGTAATTCATAACCGGTCTTGAAGGTATTTTAGGTGGGATTCCAAAGACACCGAACCTATAATTAAGGGTGACATAAGTGGTAATGTTGCGGAACGCCCTAACTGTTAAGCAGGTCTGAAGACTCACCGACTGGTGGTAAAGCCAAAGAGCATGTTGGCGGTTGACCAAATTAGGGTGCTAAGGCTTAGGCCAATCGATTCGATGATGACCACAGTCAGGGAATTTCCTGACAAAAGGACTGTGGCGTTCCTTAATAACTAACTTACCAGCAGCCCAAAGAGCTCCACCAACCATAGCGAGAGGATAAAACACGGGAACTCTGTAAAGAGTACCAACGATCAACTGTACCGCAATCCCAACGATCAGGACTCCATTGCACATGAGCCATTGACAACCTAGACCTACAAAAGTGACTTAGAACCAACGCTGCGTCTACCATCCCCCATTTTGAACTTCTTAATGGGTATGAGATTGGTGCCAAAACATATAGCACACACGAAAATAGCCGCCCAACCCCCTGTGGGAGTATTCAGCTTGGCGAAGATATCGACATTCGTAGCATTATTCATTGTTACACGTACAGAGCAACAAGTAAAGCAAAGTCCGTTGAGATGGCACCAGCTCTATATTACCAATGGTCTGAACTCTGCTTAATATATAGCCTAGCTAACTGAAATTTGTCATGTGCAGAGGTCAGATTAGGCCACATGACATGGCCGCGATCACGTGTTTGGGATTAGTCTGGAGATTTAATAATACGACAACGTTTAATGCACTAATGATCGGATTAACCTTGAGATCAGGCAGTGACTGTAACGGGAGGGAATGTGAAATGGCAGACAGATAGGCGAGCCTTGTTATCTGCATACTTTATGTAACTCTGGCAGCTACCAGTGGAGTTTTTCCCCTATGTTTCCATATTACTATCACACAGATGTGCAGGGGCAATTTAATGAAATGCTAAGCATTGAAAATGAGTCGGCTGTAACAACAGTTGCTTGCTTCGAGTTGTATAATTTGTTGAAGATAAACAGGCTTTCAATTCGCTGACATCTGATTTATAAATGCGGTAGAGCAGTCGATGCACAACGAGTCGTGATTCGACCGCACACTTGAGCTCACGGTCGAAATGCTGAAGTGCTTTGTCTGCTTTTCTGCCACCTTTCTGTTAGCTTACTTGTAGCTGTCCTTATTTACACTCAAGGAAGGCATTTCTAACATCAATGCCATTTAGATTGCCAAAATAGTATCTACAGCCCAGCAGTTTGGGCAGATGGTTGTGCAGCTGGGGATTTTACAGAAACATTCTATACGAAATTTATCAGATCCTAGCAAATGCTTAATTTCTTTGCACCTTAAAGACGTTCAACTTGGACTCTACTGTCGCTAACCTTGATAGAAAAAGAAAAGTGGGTAGCCGAGAAGAGTAATGGAATAACTGAAATGTCTGATGAATACGATTGGGCAGAAAGAGGCGCACATTAAGTAGGAGGGAGTGGCGCCGCAAAGGGGACAGGGAAAAACGCGATGAGAGATTCAAAGAAGGAGATGAAGAGTAAGGAGATAAACTAGGTGAATGACGGTTCTCTTGATGAGAAAATAAATGATCTTAATGGAAGGAGACATCGGCAATGGGGACTATTTCTGGTCCGAATCGCCACACTTGGGGGAAATCTATGCCTAAGCATAACAACGATATAAACACCAAAATTGAACTGCTGGTTTTATTGAGCATGAAAATGAGGCAATGCTGGTTTCTAACGGCAAGGTGTAACACGCTTGTAAGGTCTTCTTTTTGGCTAATGTAACACCTTCGCAGTGGAATTATTAGTGACATTAGCTGAGTGACATGTATTCCTTATCATCGTGTGGCACCCGCTTGCAAGGCCAGCTCTGTGCAAAAACAACAGGATAGAGGAGGAGGGCAGGTGGGTTATGCACGGTCTGAGGAGGGCGAATACTTTCTCCTCATTTGTGCGCTACCTAAGAGTCGCAAGTTATTTGATTGAATGTGATGCTCCGAGTCCGCTTACTGATTGCGCACGCACTACTCAGCATACTAGAAATAAATTAAAAAGGTACTTCATGGAATAAATAGACAAGCAGATTTCCATGCATCTTAACGAAATGTAGCACAGAGATTAGTCCCTCTTGTATGGCTTACGTAGAAGACAAGATGCCTTTTGCATCGTCACCCCGATAACCTTTACTTTTACTCAGTACTAAAGACATTTTTAACCTTACTTCGAGATAATGTTTGCGTTCTCACTCGCCTCCACCTCCGTTCTACCTCTTCTTTTCTTCCTTTCTTTCCTTCATTTAGCTTACGGCTATAGACGGCTGGCGCATAGGACACCCAAGTTGCCGATGAAGAGGGACACCAAGATGTCTCTTCCACCACTGGATTGGTCTACTTGAAGGATCAGCGTTCCTTTTATCTCCAGTCAATGAAAATTTGCATCAGGGCGAGAAGGCACCAAACCGGTGGCATCTAAAGGCTTGGCTAAAAGTACACTACAATTACAGGCCGTACTCTGTGGAGTCGGTGGACAATGTTTACATTGACCTGATTGCGAAGGCTCGTTGCCAGGACACTGTAATGGAAGTTCTTGCCTATCGTCACTACCTATCTAGTGCGCTGAGTAAGGTGGCCACCCATGCTGCTAGTAGTGGCATCTAATAATCGGTGACGTCTACTTCCAGCGATCCTATCGAGATGTTAATGGAACATCAGCGGGAGCAGCTGCTCGATTTTGTCGCTGCTCTGGCTTTTTCTGGCAATCCTGCCTATGCGAATTTGATTATTTGGGCTTCTAGCTATAAGCAAGCGGAAGCTTCACCCTTTATATCATCCAATTATCAGAAATCCAGTGGAGAGGGGAGGGGCGATCAGCTTAGGTGATGGGGGGAGATGAAGAGGGTGTCTACAGGTAACAAAGCTTTCTACTGGCATAGTATTTAGACAACACCGAACGATTCCTTACGAAACCGAACATAATCAGCAAAAGTGCTAGTGAGATGCAAGCTTTGCTGGGCCAAAAAAAGCGGTGGTTTCATAGTCTTGCAGCACGCAACTGTTCCAAGGGACATGCAACTAATGTCGTTGCGAGACAAGACAAAATAAGAAGGGAGGAGTCAAGGTGTGACTGACTTACAATTGTAAACCTTTACATCTACGTCCGTGATTATCGGCCAGAACACGATCAACGGATCGGCGGCAAGTTTTTACACAAACGTGGGAGGGTTATATCCGCCATCAAGATGTGAAGCCGCAGCCGGATGAGGCATCGTCATCAACTGCGTGTACGAAACGATGCAATGAGTAACCAGTAAATAAACATAGTACTTAACCAACAGATGAACTACCAGACACCATCCAGATGCCTCTTTGTAGGCTTTAAAGAACGGCATAAAGCAGGCGAGCCTGGTTGGCGCCTCTTCTGAACTAAGACGGCGGTCCGTTGGCAACGATGCAGAATGAGGCAACTACACGATAACCGAAGAAATCGTCGCTACCGGCTTTTAATGTGAAGGAGGTAGTATTGACGTCTCCACTGCAGAAAAATTCACCGCTTCTTTGTCTATTTATCATGGTTATCATCATTTTGCCGCAGTACCTCCTAGTTCTTCTTCTCCATTCTGCTATTTTGCCCCTGCTTTAAACAGCGTTTTGCATTCTACTTCCTCTCGTATTCGTACCTCTTTCTTCTAACACGTATACAGTAAAGAGTTTCAGCTTTTTAATCTTTGCTTCGGTTTCTTCTAACTCTTCGCCAAAATTGACCCACATCCAGGAAAGATAAAATTAAGTATTTACTGGAATCTGGTAAGTTTTATATTAGTTGTTTCCACTGGGTTTTCTTCTTGCTCATAAACATCTCTAAAAACTGCTTTTATGGAAGCTTCTCTTTTGGCAAACTTCATGTTATTGTTGCTAAAAATATATTTCCTGAACAAATAACAGCGTCTTGTCACTTAATCAACAAAGTAAAGCTGACGTTTTGTAATAAAACTCATGGGAAATAAATTCGCTTAATGAGCTTTGAGCAAGAGATTCCTCACTACTGCAAGTCCAGCTTCGACCCTTCTTCTGGCCGGAGTTTGTTCATTAAATTTTCGATGAATCACGGAAAGTGTTAAAGTGTCCATCACTCAGACGATGAAATTTCCACCTACCTGCATACTGACTTACGTAAGTAGTATGCACGGAAAGAAATAATTCTGCATCATTTTATCCACCCGTAGTGATACCTAGGCGAAAAACACAGCTTCGTTCAATCAGTAGTCTATTCTGTGGTAAGTTTAGGCCAGAAGTGGTTGTCTTACTTAAACATCAATTGAGATGTAGACTTTGGAAAAAAGTCTCACTTATTTGAGGGATTTGACTATGTTGTCTGAAGCAGGATGTGTGCCCTCCCCTATCCGTAGTAGTGATTATTTGGCTGTGGACTCAACGACGATGAAGACGTCAATTGTGATTATCACCACTGTTTTATCTGTCTTTGCAACTCTTTCTCACCTCTCCTTTTTGCAGTGCTTGTATTGTATAAACAGACAACCCCTCAATCAGACCTTGTTGAGTGACCAGTAATGTGACTATTTGAAAATGTGCAACCATTCCTCAAAGGTCCATGTTACTTAAAGTTGACTCCAAATGTGAAGTAGGTTTGGTGGGATGGAATTCTAAACAACCGAGGATGCGGTCATTTTTACTCATCATCTGGTGCTTTATGTAAGGCAGCCCAGAGGTCCAGTCTAGGTTGCAGCCGACACAAAGACAAAGGGCTTTCGCCACACAAATGTCATGGTGATGGAGAGTGAGGGTGAAGCATGGCCAACCACGGGAGTGCTTATCGTGTGAGACCAATGAACCCACAAGACAATGGTTGGGGCATAACTGAAGCGATTAGTGCATTCGCTGCCAGTCTTGGACAAAAGACAAACAACAATTCAATTTTCAGGTGATTCCCTTTTTCCATTACACTAATGGCTGCTTTTTAGAATTAAGGCATTTAAACGCTCATCAGCAGCCTAGATTGGTCCACTTCAACTCTTACTGAAGGCATTTTCGACATTTCTTTGCTTTATGCTCCGTTTGCAGTACCATTTTGCTCTAGCCGAACTATAGACAAGCCTAATCTTTGCAGTGCACCATGACTGCATTCTAGCTCAAGTTATATACAATGCTGGTATTCAATGTCAGCTGCACAGACTACTCATTTCCTTACTCGTCTACGATAGATAAACTCACTTTCGTTCTCACTGCTTGCATCAGTCTTTTAAACAGCATCAAGTGCGGTTGTCACACGATGTCTCAAAAAAACCACCCTTTCTTATGCACTCATAAACTCACAAATGGTCACCACCGCCACTACCACTACATGCTGTGTAGTTGGCTTGGAGGCCAACCACACCCACGAATGGCACTTTTAATGAAGCTATTACGACACATGAAAGACTAAGCGATGCATCACAAGGCAAACACTCTCGAAGTGGACAAACGCTTTTAGAGGGCGATTGCCATCTACTACTTACATAGTAAGTACTTAGTTGAAGTTGACAAAAGTAGGCACTTGAGTGACACAGAAAGATGGGTAACATTAACGCAGCAAATGTGGGCAGGGTGCACCACACTCCACATAATAGAGGGCAGGAATGGATGGGCTAGCAGTGTCATTCATCCCCAAAGAGATGAGATCGGAAGCAGCGACGCAGAACCAGTACTCTCAACTCCATGTCCTTAACTCCGGCTGTCTGCAAAAATAGTCAAACTTCCGTCAAATGAGTCTTAAGAGCACACTCGACCGAATAATCAACCCCAAAATGATGTACTGTCAAGAATCTACTGGCGCGCCCACCCGCCTCAAATCCTTTCCTTAGCTCCATCATACACCTCTCGTCATCATCTTGCAGATGGCTTTAAAGAAACTCCTAAAGTCGCACAATTAAATATGGCCCAAACTGAAAATAGTAACGAGAAAATGACTTAGTTCGGTTAGTTCAACCTTGCGCCTGACAACGAACCAACTTAACCTGTTAGTTCCAGGTCCTGTCTAGCGTCGCATATTTCTTTTGTTCCTTACGTAATACCTGCCTACCCTCTCCAAAGCAGGCACCTGGTGATGTTTCATCAGACTTGCAGAAGACGGCAAATGATAGGTCAGTAGTTACTAGATACTCTTTTAAACCTCGAAAAACTTAGTGCAAAGGAATGAAACTACTACCACTACACACGCCTTTAGATAACTCCACTTTATGTTTATCAATGCACTATACATGGTTTGGCATTACTATGAGATGACTTTTAGATTTACACCTATACCCGGTAGACAATAACGTTTGCACCGTATGTGAACTAATTCAAGTCGAGTAGACATGATTTTATGTGGTAGGTCACGTAAAACATGCTTTTATTGGTAAATAACTGATAAACGTTCAAGAGAGTTTTAAATACCATCGCAAGGCTTGCCTACAACTCGTATTAAATTACACGAAGTTCCACTAAAAAGAACTCAACCACAGTGGCATCCAAGAATTTGGTTGGCTTAATTCTGACGCATGAGAATTCGCTATGACTTTAAAAACAAACAGTATCAGATCTATAAAAAGCCATTCCTTTGCTTATAGCTCAACCTCCAATACCACAGCGTGTCAAATCTGAACTTAGGGGTGGGTGGTAACTGATGTCTTATGTTGTACGCTTCAGTAAGAAAAGATCAACACAAAACCGATCACTGGCCTTTAAATTAGCGATGTGGAAGTCCATAAAAAATCAGAATACCAGGTGTTCAATAAACACGATGTATGCTACCGGCACGAAAATTACAGTAAGTCGGACAATGCAGCTTTACCATGAATTAACTGTGCAAAGATTTGTGGAAAAAGGTAGAAGAAAATTACCACCCCCAAAACATTCATATCAACCAAAAAATTTAAGCAATCATGGAATTAAGTGAGCCTTAAAAAATTAACAGCCAGATGATTCAATTTAGGGAATTTCGTAAAAGTGAGCATGAACATAAACTGCAGTCGAATTGTTGCACTTTCTAAAGTCAAGCCTGGTCTTTAACCTCAAATATATAAGTGCATAAACCTCAAAAATCTGAACAAACATAAAAATATGCAACTACGGAAGTAGAATTCTTCAAAAACATTGGTGAACTTGATAATGGCGAACAAACCATTAACACTTTCATTAACCTTTTTCCTTGCACAAATAATATATTTAACTACTGGACTTAATAATTTTTTATTGTCACTATAACCTATTATTTTTCGCTCAGTCATTTTTATTTGTTAATTTTTGGGTTTTAAGAATATGTCAATTTGTATATTCAAGGTCACCATGCGCATATGTAATGAACTAGCCCACCGGTTCATCTCCTGCATGGCGATGGGGTTTTCTAGTGTCGTTTGGCTTGTATTACGACAGAACAGGGGAGAGTAAGTTCTCAAGGATGGGCAGCTTTTTCTTTGTTGATCCAAATGTTGATAAAAATGGGTTGTTTATGCATTTGCGCACCTTTCTCAAATAAATATACAAGAAGCATTGGGAATGCTATTTTACCATACATAAACGTGAAGTATTTGAGGCCAGAGGTAAGTCGGAATTTTGTTCATCTTCTTTTTTGCATCTTTCGGTTTGTTATGTTTTCGCACATTCTAAAGATCAAACCTACTCGTTTTTTCCAGGATTAGGGTATTTTCAATATGCTCACGTTTTCAAGGAGCGATTAAACCTGTTATTCCAAACAACTCGAAATCGATCTTTTTGTTGGCTTTGAACTACTCTAGAACAAATACACCTCTAGCGGGAGTTAATGCCTGCGTCATTTCCCTGGTGGTTAATCGGTAGATGTTGCCTGCTCTTTTAATGAACCCCGCGATTGCTGACGTGTCACATCTGGAAGGTCTGGGGCTTTCTACCTAAGTCACATTATGTATCATTAGCGTTCATCGTTGTGATTCGGCTATTCTTGTGGGAGAACACACCAGCGCAGCCACTGTTTAGGAGACTGAAAATGCTTGTCCAGTTCCCATTTTTGCGAATAGGCTGATTAAACTGGACTATGGGGTTAACATTTTATCAAAGTGATTTTTTTCCTAATTTTCTGGTCTCGGTTATCTTTCTAATTGCATTTTTTACGCTAAGAAAAGGTTTTTATGCTCCTCATAACTATTCGTCTGTCCCGCCACACATACGTGAGATAGATTGTCTGCTTGAATCCCTCCTTTAAACGTCTTTTCAGTTTTTGCTGCGAAGGTCCTCCTACGCAACTGCATTACTAGTCTTGATCGCGTACCCGTCCCTAATTTAGTTGTTAAGTCCAGGCACAAGTGATGAAGTTTACTTTTTTATTTATTAGTTTCCACTGATTTTGCAGTGCTTGCTGAACTTAAAACGCTGTATTTCGGGGGATTTTTCGAAATTACATTCGGAAATGTATTTGGGCGTAGCGTTGTGTGCTTGTGATGCCTCCTACTCCATCAAAAGTTGTAGTTCCCAGTCGTCGTTGGGAAATGACACCTCTTAGATAACGTTGCCTCAAAACTGTGTAGGCACGTGAACACCCTCTTTGTAGACACATTGATATCTTATTTTACGAGAAACTTGTCCTTTGAATTTGGATTAAAATGTCTAAATTCACCAAAGCCACCGGAAAGTTGTGTTAATTCCACGAACAATCTGTGGTCTAAACCTTAAAACCTAATTTTACTACGAAAGGCAATTGGTGTCCAGTACATTCTTGCTACAGAACATCGTCCATTCGGCATTGCCCATTTGACGTGGGGCGCATGCATGCGGTTAGTTGTTCTCGTGCACCACTCCGTACCCTTATGTCTGATACTCCTGAAATCATATTGACCTGACCTTGAATTATAATTAGTTACACTTCACCAACATGGATCGCTTAATCCTTCAAATGTGAGTAAGACTGCAAATGTGTTCTCATGTTGAAATACTACCAAGACAGTAGTGTACAATGGGTAATTAGTATGGAGAGGTGTGGAAAGAATTGTGGTGGCCTTCAAATAGGCTTTTGGTTCAAGAAAACACTTTCTCGATACTTTCCTTTCGTTTTCGATTGAGTTCACGCATGGTTCTATCGGTCACTCCATCCGTCCCCATAAGGACCTTTGAAATGCAGCCTTTGTATTACTTGTACTAAATCGGATTTCTGCCTATGAAGCAAATGGATTTGGTCGTTTCGCAGCTGTTGTTTCACAGGTAGCAGCTTTCGCTGTAGACAACTTATTTATAAAAGCAATTGGCGGTCAACATTGGCGAAAAACTGACATTTATCGGCACTTTTGGGTGGCTGTCAACTCCGTACCTCCCCATCACCCTACAGGCGTGACTGCTGCCTTAGCATCCGGCATCCTTTCGAAGATGAGCTACGTGCTACTGGATTGTTTAATATGTAGATGAGCATCACAAGAAGTTGACTAATATTGATAGTGTAGTTATCGCAACAAACCTAGCAGTTGATAGCTGGCGCGTAGAATGAGGGGGATAGACGGATGGAGGAAAAGATTATGGATGGTGGCTGGAGTGATTTGGGATTTAGTTGTACCACAGTTATCGCAAGCTGTTAAATCATTTTTTTGTGCGGATGTGGCTCTGTTAGCAAAAATAGTGTACCTGAATTGCTCTATTACCGATGTTTATTTTTTCATCCTTTTTATGCGCTTTGTCAGACCCAGCGAAACAGGAATTAGGCGAGCCTGCATGTCCGTTGGATAAATTATCAGTAAGTAGGCAGGTCTCCTCGTGAAAATTGTCTCGAATCATCCTTGAAAAAGTGGTGAGGCACCTGACTGGAAGTGGATTTATTGAAGGGAAAGCAACTTGTACATTACACTGGTATTATTGGTGGTGCGAGGTGATACAGTGGGAGTGAGAATTGCTTTGGACAATATTCCATAGTGAATCCTCGTCGCCTTTGAATACATAATAAAGCATGTCATCAGGAAGGTGGACATATAATTGATGGAATACCTAGGGTCAGTGTATTAAAAGGCTATACAGTGAGGAGCGGATGGAAACGGATTTTGTGGGATATTTTAGTTTGACATAATTACGGCAACTGAAACTAATTGAGTATTTCCTGTCTACCCGTGTAGGGACGTGTACAAAGCTGGTCTGTTTGAACATGGAGCGAAGCGATTGAATGCATAGATTGAAGAACTCTACTCCAAACTAACTAAAGGCGCGTCACACTATCAAATTGCAATGTTGCCCTCTGGAAGACATCACTGACAACCTGAGATCAGTGGAGGTTCACTTACTCACTCTGAACGGCTAGCAGCCTTCCAGACCGCAGCATCAGCCGGCCCTGCGATGCCCAGTCCTGATCCCGATTTATCAAGTCTTACCATGGCTCTAGCTTCAGGAACATCTGGTAGCATGATAGGTGGTGTGACATCCCAACTGAGGCTGTTTCAATGAACCCACATAAATCCATTTTCCCACCATCACCACCGACAATACGACATAAAAGCAGTGATTCCGGTAGTGTTTGGCAGACCCTTCATTCATCACCACTACTATTGCAGGTTTTGCTAAATTTCGGCTGTGACATTTCAATTCGAGTATGGACTTGCACTCTAGCCTTCCTGATTCAATTGAACTTATTTGTTTTTTTTTTGGTAGGATGACTGGTTTGCTCATTTATGTGAAATACAGTTTTCCTTAATTTTTGTACGTTTTATCAACTTCTTTCTTGCTTGTCAAGCACGTATATGTGTACTTTCCTTAGCTATTTCATCGTGGGCTCTATGCTTCTCTAAATCAATAAAATTGTTTAAATTTGGTGTGTCTGAGCTGAAGTGTTGTGTATTCACCTACTTTGCGGTGTTGATTTTGCAACCGAATTAAATGTCCTTCTTGGCCACCCACTGATCGGTTGAGTAGTTCAAATCAGAGCTGACCTACAGTAATTCGACGAGTCTCATTGCCTTATTTCAGAGGTCAGACGCACTACCCGCGTAACTAACGTACATGGAACATCGAGTTTACGGTATAACCTGGATTGTTGCCATGACTGCGGAGTCTACTGAAAATTAATGAGTAGTTCGGTTGCTACTATCTCATCGGAAGAGGTGGCACGGGTGGCAGCAGCATGGACCTTTTTGTTAGTCTTGGGTTTTTTCTTTAGGTTAGTTAATCCTGCGTAGGATTGAATGTCCTTAAGGTTGATAAAGATGCTTAGCCTTAATCATGACTAGAGGGCTGAAGTCATGTGTCATACCGGTTTTTTGCTCATGACCTATTGAATTGCCCTCCCATAATTGTTTATCATGCATATGATTGCTAAAGGTAACTCTCAAGTCATGATGCCAGGAAATCATCCGCCCTTTTTCTGTTGTTGGATTTTATTATTTTGTGTAACGAGGCGAAAATTCCTTATCGGTTGTAGAAACACTTCGTAAACAGACATTAAAGACGCCCTTCAAAGTTGTTCCGCTGAGGAATTGGAGGAGTTTATTTCTCTCCTCATGGAGTACAAAGCAAAACTGATGTTGACTAAATGTGCTGATTTTGTAGGCAAGTAGACGGTGTTCCAACAGTAAATTTCTCGTGGATAAGCTAACAGAGGAGGAAGCGCGGAAACAGAGGGGAGTGTTTCTGGGTCGGAAGAAGGTTGGTGTTGATGAGGATACACCATTTCAACGTCATTCAATCTATCCCCTTGTTCGTCAAAATGGCAACGATAGCTTCCATGTATTCACGGCAACTTTGGTGGATCCCTTCAAGCCATCCAAAGTAGCTGTTATTGATGGTTCGAATTGCCAAATGGAGATTGAAATTCTGCAAAAAATGGTAGGCGTTTACTCTTTCTCCTTAATAGTGACTCCTTCCTCAAGGGTTGTTACGGCTATGCACCAGAAGTTGAGGCGAGGAGGAAAGAATGCGCGAGTCCCTCGAAGTTGTTTTTGTTCGATACAGAGGTAGCTGGTTTTTGACTATTTTGACTGGATTGTGTAGATGTTTTTTCTGTTGCATGGGTTGGGCGTGCTAAGGGTGAGGATCCCGAAGAAATTCTTTGAAAAGACAGTGCTGATTGAAGGTGGTGAAGAGAAGAATAGAAAGGTAGATGTTTGGTAGTTTGGGTTTTGGTAAAATGATAAGTTTATTAAGTTAAGTTTACTAAATTTATTCACAGGTGTAACTTTCTGCTGCCAAATCATCCACAAGTGATCTATGCGTAAAATGTCAGCTAGTTAATCCGGCACCTTATTAGCTTTCATCCCTTTGTTAATTTAGCTATCCCTACTTTATTTACGAGTTCTTCAATATAGCAAAATTTGTAATTTTATTCCGTATTTACCCATCCACCACTTCTAACATTCCTTATTCTTCTATCCAATGTCCATCCATCTCGAATCCATTCATTCATTCATGCATCTCCGTGTACTCTCATCCAGCTATCTGGGCTTTGTTCCTTCCATCTATTCATCCTAATACCACCTATCCATATGTCCCTCTCTGAATGCATCGCTCCATTCGCTTTGTCTCCATCTATCTATGCTCCACGCATTCTGATTCCATTTGCATATCACGTGCCCTTGGCTTCTTTGTCCATCACCAGTGAAGGTGATAAATTAGCACCTTAAATCTATTTGTTTAGGGATTGGGTGAATTTGCTTTCACACAGATGACGGGAGCCAGTTTTAGCTTTTCTTTTTGTGATTGTAGTAACTGATCAATCTTCAAATTGTTTCTATTATTGGTTTTTGGCCTTTTGCTCTGTTTAGACACCCACCCATCACCTTTGGGACCTTCTCTCCTCTCCTAGCAACCCCAGTTCAGAGCCTCCCTTGGCGCCATTTCATTTTCGTTACGCCGCTTATTTGTACTATCGCTCGAGGGGATGGATTGTGCGACCCTCCTTGACCTTGGGCGGTGTCGACTTTCTCCTCTACGCTGAGTCGCCTTGCCTGCGTCATGCGGCCTACGCGGTTATTGTGATGTCGGCATCCAACACTCGCTCAGCCCGTGATATTGCTGCACACCTACGTGTCACATCATCCGTTGCCAAGGTGGTGAACGCTTTCAACATTAGTGCTAATGTGCTTGAAGGTTGCATTATATACATTTGTCGTGCTCTCTTTTGCATTTTAGAGGTTAATTATTGCAGAAATCGCGGCGCCCACAGTGGAGAAAGGCGAAGGAAGGCCTTGGGAGAAGGTTAAAAATTATACAATTGAAGAGACGTTGCTTTCTCGCACAACGGATCTTGTGTAGAGCTTTATGTGCTGTTTGTAAATAAGTATTTACTTCCTTTAATTAATAACCTCTATGGTACCGTCAATTCCATTGATCTGAAGAGATGTCAATAAATCCTTCCAACTGATACGAGTGAATTCTGGATGATTGCCTCACTAGCTAGCTACAGATTGCTGTCGAATTGGCCTTTGGATTAACGCGAATGGGTTGAGTTGGTTGTTGTCGGAGGCTGGCCAATCCATGATGCTGTGGCACTTAGGAAGGGCGGTACGGGCGAACGATGCCACCTCCATGTTGAGAACAGTGGTGGTAGTCCACTCCTATATGGCCCAAAGTGGGTGGTGGTTTTGGCTGTCAAGCAATGGCAAGGGTGTAGTTTTAATTCCACTCACTTCCTCATAGATTTACGTTTCTATCACTTTTTTCAATTCCATGTTGTTTGCTGTAACCTTACTGTTCGCCTTTTAGTTTATTCCTGTGCCGCATCGGTTCAGTGTTTTATTTAGCTGAGTGTTCAAGTCCACAGACACGTCCCGGTGAAGTGGCTGCAATGCCACTGCTGCATGGCCTGCGGGCCATGCCACCAGTCCCTCAGCTATCTCGTGCATCACTGACGTATGTTCTTTTATAGTACCCTGGCTGATTGCGATCTCAGCTTTCAAGGTAGACCTGGTGCACTACCTATGTCTGAATAGGCATTAATGGACACAGATGTGACAATAGAATTGGCTTTAGCTTTGTCATCTAATCCCTTCAATGGATGATCGAAAACTACACTTACTACCAGTTATAGAAGAATGGCAATGAGGACAGATGATACACGGGAGTTTTTAATAGTACAAAACTCGTACATAGCTTAAATTGGCAGGGCTCAAAATAACAGGATGTGGTAACCACATTGTGTGTAATTCTTTTGTAAATACTTTTAAATTCAAGCTTATTTATGCATTTATAGCAGATTTAAATGAAGTTACTTTACTGCTAAACATATTTGCGGAAGTTGGTGTGAGGTCCATTGCTGTACTCATTCTTAATCTGTGTTGTTTCCTCGGTAATATAGCCTGACTTTTGGCACAAATATATGCATGCAGTTGTACTCACTCGCATACAGATCCAACTCTTAATGCACTTAAAGGCAAGTAGCTCCGATTGTTTCATTTTGTGGTCTTAATCTAAACTAACGAGGGCATGCCTTTGCTCACAGCGAATGAACAATGTCGGATTCGGAGGGTCTTCTTGGCGATTTGGAAACATAGTTTGGGATGCTCTTTTAGTCCCGCCTTAATAGACGTGCAACCCATTTCCTTGTGAAATGATACAGCCGTCTACTAAAGCAGCGTATGCTCAGGTGCATCAGTGCCATCTGCGCCTGTGAAGCCGGATAGTTCACACGTGATTGTCTCTTCTCCACACTATGTGGACAGTTTGCAGGAATCCAACCCTTTTGTTAGAAAGATTACACGTGCACATGCTGAGTGTTTGTCTTTTGACATTTAGATAAGTTTTTTTATTTATTTTATTTTGTTTATTTTTTTTATTTTAAGGCCGAGCTAACGACTAGGTAACTAGAAAATGCAAATGGATAATTTTGTACTAAGACTTTAGTGTGGGGGTAGATTTTTGTCTTACCTCCGGAGGGAGACGATCTGATAACAGTGTGATTTGCAGCTAGCCGATTTGCTACTTGACCACATCTATTTGTCTCAACTTTTCAGTTGATCACAGTACCATGATGGTCAATCCCAGCAGCCGCCTCATTATAATCATTTTTGAATCCCTACCGAACTTCCTTATGAGATGAGGAATACTTGTGAGAAATGCATAAATTTTTAATGACAGCAACCATTTTCTTCATGCAATAATTAGTCAAATGTCCCGATGGACTTTTCACTGGGGCAAGACCCCATCAGTCATAACATCTCGCAAGAGTTACAAACAACTTCTGAAATAAACTTACGTATTTTCTTTACAAACTACACAGAGAAGGGTCACACAATCCCTCCTGTGTTGGTATAGCATATACAACTGAGTTAAGATAAAACTTGCCTTTTAAGACAATGAAGGTGGTATCTTTAGCAAAAGCTTTATTTTCTATTCATCTTTCGGAAATTAAGCAAGTGGAATTGCTTACCTAACTAAGTGCACATCACGAAGTCGCAAAAAAGTGCTCAACACGTATTGTCGCGTCCTTAGATCTAGCAGTTGTGGATAGTACGGTCCTGTTTGCTGTATTTCGCAGCTATGCAAACATTTTCTCGAGAGCATTCAAATTTTGGAAGAAATTACAAAATTGCAGAAATACAATTCACTATTACATTGAATTCCCCTACCTGGCTTTAGCAAACGTAATGCTGAGCTAAAATGCAACAAAGAACATTTTAAATGTTGGCTATTTCAAGTATTGCCACACTGTTGATGGTCAGGAGCGCCATCTTCACCTCTTTTGATTGCGTCTACTTTTGAAATAGAATCACCATCGCAAGATTCGAAATAAAATCCTGCGACATCCACAAATCCTTCCACAGACTTTCTACTGTCCTTGCCAATAAAGAGTACTAGTAAAGAATGATTTAAGCAATGATGTGCCTTTGAAGTAGAACTTAAGAAAAGAAGAAAGCAGGAAAAGAATTATTTCTTATGATAGATGTTTGAAACCGTCTGGAGGTTGGCAGCTGATAGCTGTGAAAGAAGGAAAGTGCCAAGAAGCATTTGTGCACTATTATAGCCCTGTAATCATGAGAACAATTGCATTCACTTGACATGACCTCTGGAGTTGAAACAAGTCATTGCATTGAATTGTACCGAAAACATAACTTTGCTAGTTATTGAAAATGCTATTAAAGTTTGATTCAAATTTCCTTATACTTTCGTTAGTGCTTGACGCTTTCTCAGAAAAAAGGAGGAATGAAAGTGGGTCCTCTTGCACATCTCCAAGTTGCTACCGTTACCAGCATTGAAAGTGCCTGTAAGACCGGCTGGCAAGGCACCAGCATTGTCTGGTCGTTCGGACGACTCCGCTTTCACTTCTCTTGATTGTTATCCATCTTAAAGAAGTGGCGACAACGCTCGATATGCAGGCTTAGGAAGTCAATATACCAAGCCGCGGGTGGTGTGAAATGAGCTTATTCCTCCACTTTTATCCATTCAATTTTATTTCCTTCATTCTAGACGTCAATGACCAAAATGAAAGGTTCGAAAAATAGGGAATTTTATACCCAACAACTCATCGACTGCAGTGTGGGAATACAAATATCTTGGGAACCGGATCTACAAAGAAATACCTGAAACGTGCCCCATTCAAATGGCACAATATGTTCTCAATAAGCGCGTCTTCTCCATCAGAGTCCTTCAAACCGACGATAGATGGGAAAAAAAAACAACAAAAAGGCCACTCGCACAAATAGAGACACACATAATATGGCCTAGCCCGTCTTCCTCATTACAAATGAACCAGATATCCAAAATCCATTAACGTTCGAGTGGTGTTTTTCTCATTAAATTAAACACATTTTGGCACAAATCTTTGAACAAGAACAAGTTAATCAGTTTTGGGGTTAAAAATACATCATACTGGAGGACAAAAGAATCTGGTTTCCATTTTAATCGACAAAATCTTTCTGTAAAGTGTAAATTATCTTGTACAGAGGAAGCAATTAAAAGGACTCTAGTAGTTGTAGCACACATGGCGATACCAATTCGGGAGACTGGAGAAAATTAAAGTAGATGAAACAAAGGAACTGCCAGACCCTGGAGTAAAAGAGATGGCAAAATTGTCTGTCTAAAGGAAAAGCGTGGTTCTTTAGGCGTGACTGGTTTGCAGGCTAACCAAATAACTTCACACATAATTGACAGAGATGTAGTTCAAACTATCTCACCTCTTGATTGCCTTCGCTCTAGACGTCCAATAAAAACCAAGTCACCAGCTCTCCATTTTGTGGGTAATACCGAGGTAAACTATGTTTTTCCAGAAGAGTAAACTTTACAGTAGCTTATTCGCTTTAGGGTTGATTGCCTTTTCCGTCTGTTAGCGTGGATGAGGTAGCAGTGTATTTAAGCAGAAAGGAGATTACCGATACTGACAAAGCAATGTTGGGAAAAGTTTTCATTTTTCTTTGAATGCTCGTAAATCCTCCAGAAAGCACCTTATTGCAAATGCAATCTTTCACGAATGGAGTGAAATCATCCTGTCTGTTCATAAGTTCTTTTACAATTGTGTAGGCGCCCAAGACTAATTTCGCCATCAGGACAAGTGATTAGGTAAAATCATTTTTTTCAAATGGTGAGCATTCTATTTTCCATTTGTTTTCCACTTTTATCCTATCCCTCATTGTTTTCAAAGTAGGCTTTAATTTCTCCCCCTTTTCCTCTCCTTAAATTACGTCTTGCCGATATCGGCTTTGGCGGATAAAATTCATTGAATCTAATCACCGACTACTGTCCACCTTGATCAGTTACAATAAACTCCGCATAATTGAATGACTATTTTGTTGAACTTTACTGAGGAAATTATGTGAGCAATCTGTTTTAAGCTGTTACGGCTATGCGCGCGTTAATTAAAGATTGGAAGAGTCGGAAGAAACCCTAATAGAGTTGGTCAATTAACAAATTCCTTCAAGAACCAGTATCTAGTCCCAGAAAAGTAGAATTCATCCAGCATAGCTTCTCTACTCGCGTATGCTTCTTGCCTGATTAATAAAACAGTCGAGTTGCCTGAGTAAATTGCAGACCAGTCAGGATAAAGTATGGCTTGCATGCATCCAATGGCTAGTCTGACCCACTGCTAATCTAGAGCTTCCATCCCCTTACGTTAATAACAGAAGATTCAACAAAACAGTTATCACAGTAATAGCAGAAAGGAACGGAATGCGATCACCGCAGAGGCAGTCAACACACTGAGTCCCTGTCCACAGTGTTCATTTACCTCTGGAACACTGAGTGAGGTGAAAGAGTTCGTGATAAACGTATGTAGGGTAGCATTGCCATCAGAGGGGGGCCGGCAGTAGAAGCAGCCGAATAGATCGTCATTTCTTCAAATCCCGTCTACGAGGTGTGTCCCAACTCAGCACCCTGATCTCACTTTTCGGGACCGCCACAGTTCGCATCCTCTCATTTGTCATATTCTGTGAATATCGATGGCTTGAAACAGAAAAGAGGATGCACAAGTGCGAACTCTCGTATATTCCCTTAAGATGACATGCAGCAGGTGTTATCTCAAGCCGCACATATGAACAAAACATTCATAGTGTGACATCTACCTTAGTACACTGTCAAGAAAATGAAGGTTTGGACCAAGAATCTGCAAGCGGTTGCTGCAATTTCTACTCTATCCCTTAAGAAAAGCAGCCGATCTCCATTCAAATGCATTTGTGAAGGCATGTACTGGAGAACTATCGAGGCCGAATATTGAGACAAAACGGATCCTTAGTACAAATCGTATGTATAAGAAGTTCGTTCATGCCACTCCCAAAAATTTTAATGCATCAGTTTACACCTTGAAGTGCATAGGTCCGTGAGAGGTGTTACTTGATACGTAGAAATAATAGCCGGCATAAAAACTGCCAGCCAGTCAGCACTCTACTCGTCAAACTACCGGACGCAATGGGACCTCGTGGACGGAATGACTGCAGTGAGTACTAAGGTTTCCTCGTCTAATGAGATGCAAAACCTGCAGAAATCGGCACTACAGAAAGTTTTAGTGCATAGTTCATAGGACGGTAGAATGTCAGACAGTACAGGAATACAGTTATTCAGTATCTAAAGATTAGTATTTGCACTTTTAGTCTTTCAGTCTAATTGAGAAAACAAAATGACCCGCTCTTCACTTTATTGTCTTATCCAAATTCCCAAAATAACTTGATGTTTTCGGAGATGGAATTTCTATGCTGAAGGCCTTAGATTAAAAAGGGCTACGAAAGGTGAACATACTAGGATGCATATGATGCACTAAATAGCTTCTTTCACTGTGTATAAACGCGAAATATGCACTGACAGTTCAAAATATAAATAATACATAAAGCACACAATGAATTTTTACACATTTGCTTGTAAGACAAAAGAATTCATGGGTTTACTGTGAGCACCTTCGTGTGCTAGCGATCACAAATCCCTAATTTAGACTCGTCGTCACCTCTACTGTTGCTTGATAGCAGTATCATACTTGTAAACGGCGCTGCTTGTACGTGTTACTGAGAAGACAGATAGCTAAAAATCTATGCCATCTTCATGGTCATCGAGTCTCAGTCTTACTGCTAAGCTAAAGTTAGAAGTCTGCTCAACTCACCGAACAGTTCAGGTTATTCAGAAGGGAGTACAGACTCCCTGTTGCAGGCGGCAGTTACATGGCGCTTGACAAAGATGATAGCAGTGGTGTTGATGGCGGTGGTGATAACAGTAGATAGGGATTGCGGAGGCAGTGCTGATGGTGCTAGGAGTGAGGAAGATTGAGAAGGAATGGTCGGAGATGTGAAAAGATAGGTTATGAATTACAATGTTGGGTAAAATCTTGAGTATAGAGCCGACGTTGCTGGCAGAAGTGTGAGGAAGATGCTGGCAAGCCAATAAAAAGCTGCTGCTACTGTTATAGGGAGTGTTGGACCAAGGCAAGATGTTGAAAGAAGCCTCGGGTACATTGGGTTGGTATTTCGATAGATTTAATAAAACAATAATAGCATCCTCCCTTCAGAGTCATAAACAGGAGAAAATGGGCAGACAATGAGAGCAAAGTGGATTATTATATTTGGTAAAAAAAAACATTAGCAGACTTACCCCTGATATTGCAGAGGAAAACTGCACTGTCTGTTCCTCCCTAAGGTCAATGACAGTCCTTCCGGCATTGTTGTCGAACAGCGCCATAACCAGATCTAAATTATTAATGTTGGGATTTTCTACGGCGTTTGAGGTCGCCACTGCCCATCGACCTATACAAATAGGAGGTATATGCGGAAGGCTTCATACCCGTATGCGAACGGGTGTAACGTTACACCCCATCCAAATACCCCGTGTTGTAATTGCAGTACAAACAAGTACAAACACCCGCAAAACTACCGCGTTTGGCGCCGTCACTGGTAGCATCACCATTCGCAGCAGTTCTACCACGACTAGAGCTATTGGAATTTCTTGGCGATTTAATGCACCTTTTCCATGTGACTGGTGTGATCATTGCGGCAGAGGAAACGTCTGGGGCACTTAATGCACATAAAATGGCAGTAGATTAAAACAAAAATGCTCTTGAATACATTTGCATGACTCTGCTTTGCCTCTTGTAATTATTATTACAAACTAACTGCATAGAAGCTGAAAGAAGACCTAAACGCCTAAATATATTGCACACACAAAATAAGAATTCATACAACGATCCGACACACTGGTACTTCTAGTTAAGTCCGCGCAAACGCAATACACGTGCTACACATAATTCGAAGTGTGCCAACAGACCGCTCCGCCGCAGCAGCAGCAGCAGTCACGGTAACAGTAGACAAAATCGTAATTTACATCTTGCTAGTACGCAGAAGACGTGGACGTCACGTATCCATGTATCCAACACACAAACTCGTCAGTTCCTAAAACAAACAGCTCCATTTTCCGTAACTTTAACCAATGCGTTTAATACTTACGAGATGCTTGTGGGAAGCCAAACTAACAATGTTATCATTGAAAGTGATAAACATGTCTCAATGTGAGACAGCAGTGATGGTACATCCACGGAAATGCATGTAGTAATGCAACTTCTTCTGGACGAATGGTACTTGCAGAAGACTATAAAGCGAACACAGTGGCATAGCGTTCACAGCCTAGAAGCTCGGGCCTGATGACGAAGATATTCTCTGTCGAGAGATCTCGACAGAGAATGTCAAATTAACTCAGGCCCATTTATCCTTCCAAAAAGTCATCCAGTCTGACCTAAACGCCTTATGGTATATTTGCGTTGACAATGCGTCGAGGATCCGGTTGGGCATGCCCAAAAGAAAAAAACTCGCTTCCTCATCTGAGAACGCACTAACTCTAAAACTTCCTTGCAGCGCAATGTCGGATCAGTCCAAAGTGGAATATTCAGAATCAACCAAGTTGATGAATAAAAGACGGCCTCTGCTTGAGCTGTAAGGATAGCTTTTTGTGGACCCCCAGCAGATGTGCTCTGGTTATTGTTCTCAGGGTAAATGGTATCCCTAGTCTGGAGCTTGGGCATTCCGAAAAAGACAATACATGGAGCACCAGAGCGGACACGGGTAAGTTAGAACAGAGTGTTGAGCTGGAGAGGTACTTCATTGGAGTGGACTGGAGGAATGATGATCTGTTTCGGCTGTCTGATCTTCTCTGAGAGCAATGTTACCTTTTGAATATTTATCATGCGCTCGTTCACCTCACTCGGTTATCTAAAGGTAAATGAGCACTGTAAACAGACAATAGCAAAGCCTTGCAACAAATATTCGGTTATTCTAGAGCTAGAGACTGATTCTTGAATGGACCGAAGAGCAGCACAGTTGGAACAAATATTCGTGGTGACAATTTTCACGATTTAGTGGTACAATCACCAAACACAAGCACGTGGTACAAGCTTCCAAGATATTTATACCTAAGTCAATTGTCATTGCATGCATTTTACTTCACTATCAATAACGAAGATTAGTTAGTGGGTTTAGCTGACCGCATGCAGCACGGTGGAGAAGAGATTGGTTAAAGAGGGAACACCTAAATCTAAGGTGCAGGAATAGGGATATCTGAGAAAATGAACCTTATCCACAGAATCTTACTAATCAAGGGACTTCTTATTTCCGTAGACTCCTGAGTAGCAACTGTGCCTCCCCCCAGGTTCACCACTAGCCAAATTTAATAGACAGAGGTCCAGAAACGCGTTATAAATGGGATGGGAGGCCGCGTCATTGCAAAACACGTGCCCACGTCTGTGACCTCTTGCCAATTCAGAAGAGAAGATGAATACATTCATGTGTCTGTGTATTTTGCAAGTCAGAGCTAACTGTGGGTGGTGCTGCTTGTTTACCCATTTGCGAAGTCGACACCTCACCCCACCATTTCCCCTTTCCCATTCATTCTGCGCATACAGGTACAAGTCCATTTGTGGTCGATGCGACTCACGCAACTTGTGAAGATGCCGTGACCAATAATACTTCATTGTGATCATGCGGACGGCTTACGCCGCTATGGTTCAGGTTGAGAAGTGACTTTCACAGTACCCCTGCCAATAGATTTCGCGAAGTGGTCTCCATACATAGAAAGAAATAAAAATCGTGTGCCTTAGAGAACCTTCTAGAAAAAAAGTGTTCAGGCCTTCCATCAGGCCTTGAATTCTCCTCCTAAACATGCCTATCAGCAGAGCAAAGCAAGACTTCCCAATCGCAGGGAGAAATGAACGTAAAAAGAGTCTGCGTTTAAGCATTTACATGTGATCTACTATGTTACGTGATATTCAACACTCTGCTGCTTCGAAAACAAAAATTGGCCACACACATTCATTGAAACATTTTGATATACGCACCTAAATTTGTGGTCTCCAAAAAGTAAAAGGGCCAGCGGAGTAATTTTGCTCGTTCTTACATCTTTGGCGATTTTCCCGTGAGAACTACCAGCAATCCATTCAACTGTATGGGTAATATTGGTGCCTTATTAGGAGGAAAACCTGCTTTTTGCTTCTCTTGTATAAGAGCTTCCGTAGTAGAAGTGCCCATTCGTAATGATAAATCTCGCCTGCAGTAAAAAGCGCGCAACACTAAGCTCATTCACGATAAGAAGAATAGAGTTAATCAGCCATTTTTTAATAGTGCGACGGATGTAATATTTATTACCTAGAACTGAGCGCAGGAGTGAACTGCAACAACTAAATCTATATTTCAAGGCATTCCTGTGATTTGAGTTACCTTTGAAGGTTAAAAGCAAAATCAGGGCAACAGTTGATCTTCCCGAATACATGACTTAAATGCCGATTATCTTGTGAAGCGCAAAAAAGGAGTTTTTGATTGAATAGCCAAGTTAGTAGAGTGCTGTATGGATGCCTGAATGGACGGATAGACAATGTGACAGGATGAGATAACGAACTAAGTGGTGGAAGAATGAACACCTGATTACATGGTGGATGACAATCGAAAGAGCGTGAAGTTGAAAAGTGCATATCAAACATAATCCCTCAACTATTCGCTCTTCAGGCCAGCTACAGCAGGTTCATTGTGAACAAAATAAATTATCACTAATAAACGGATCCCCGATGCACTCGAACCGAGGTCTCTATTCCTGTAGTGACTATGCATCCCTTCCCTCTTCTCTCCCTCCCTCACTTTACCCACTACCACAATGGGTAGTACTAGACTGCCAATAGTGATGGAGAAGTGGATATTTGCCAAAGATATCTGTTACTATGAGAGGAGACTTCGGTTCCCTCACTGCCAAGCCTTCATCTAAGGTGCTGCAGCCAATAAAACTTGTAAATAGGGTTAAAATGAAGAAACCAGAGATAACATTGGTAATGACATGATAATGACAATTTGACTCAGCTAGTGTTTATCGGAAAAGTGCCGACAACGAAGCAGTAATTAAAATAAGAATAGTGAACACGTGAATAGTTGCACATGAGCTCGAAAATCTTATCAAGAAGTTGCCCATATTGCTAACAAAAAATCTTAACAATCGAGAACTTACTTGAACTGATTTCTCAGCAGCGATTCCTATTAAGTCCGGGAAGTCTAAGATACCACTGGATTGTAAACTGTTTACTGACAGCAAAAACTCAGCATACATATTCACCACCGACCAATGGGGCGGAAATAGCGCTATATGTCCAATCGGAAGTGCATGCGGGCGAATTTAATGGCTGTCCAACCAATTATATGCTAGCAGTTTAAACACTACATAATTGGTCTACAGAGAGCATTATAACATCCTCAGCTAACCTGCCTTTGGAGATTACCACTTTTTGCAAGGAAAAATAAGCAACAGTATTCATTCCCTCCCTTGCACACAGGAAGTGGATTGATATTGCTAGAGGTTGCTTGTTGCGCTAGTGAGCGGGCTGGCGTCTGCGTGCATAGGAGTAAAAAAGTTTTTGTGCTTTGTGACGCTTGATTTTGCGTCCACCCACAGAGTAGCCGGGTCTCTTATTTGGGTAATGGTGAGGTCATAATTGCGATTACGCTTGTACTGGGGTACTCACTTCTTAACTATGGGCAAATATTATCACTTTCGGGTTCCGTTTTTCTTTTACGGTAGCCAAAGTCTTTCTGCGTAGTACAAAGAAAAAGGAAATGCTTGTCATATTAATACATTCCGAACGATGGACACTTCTGAGACCCAGTTAATACTTTCTCACTTACAGCCTTCGCTTCCTTTTTCAACTGGGATGACAATTAGATCTAAGTGACCTCATTAACACGGCTCTAGAGTCTACACCGACGCTAAAAATTCTTGTCAGGGTGGAATTTTCGGATTTCTTGATAGCAATAGCTGTGGCAACAGCATTGAGACGCTATCTTTCCACACACATTCCTCTCTGTTCTTTCCTTATGATGACTAGTTGTTGCCACTTGATACCGTAGCGACCACTGCCACGTTTGATGTCCATTGCAAAGTATCACTCTTTAAACGTAGGTTACTTACGTACGGTCACAAAACATCTTGCATCGTGATTGCTGAGGAGTATCTTTTTCTCACTCTAATGTGCCGTAAAATCGTATCATTGCACATGTTCTCTCTCTCTCTCCACCATTAACAGCACCATTTAACAAGCAGAAAAGCAGTTCTAGAGTGCGCCTTTTGCTTAACTTGACGAATCAGCTGCGGAATATGAGTGCATCACCCAACAATTTTATAACACCATTCCTACATTGGCATTCGGTTTCACTCCTTTAATGGAGCCCTTTGCTAAATTGTGACGGATCCAAAAAGTGGAATTAAAAAGTAGTCTCGTAGCAGTAATATTCTGTAGTGTCTGAAGGCAGTGCAGAGTGCTCGCTATTCGCTCGCACCTTTGTTCATCTGATCATTCATCTGTCCATCTACTTACACAGACAAAAGTCGTATATTGATGGTGGGTGATGGATGCAAATGCAGCCCACTGACTGGTTGTAAATGCATCACAGACGATTTCGGCTGTGCTGAAGTTCGTTAATGCGCAGCTGAGCACTCTCAAATAACTAACTGACTAACCAGCTTATCGGTATACTAGAAGTCGATGAAGATTCCCTCTCTTTCGTATGGCCGCTCCCCAGTCCATTCAGCCGCATGCACGAAAAGTTGCGGTGGATGTGTACGGACTGCGACGATTGGTCTCACTAGCGACTGAGGAGAAGTCAAAAACCCTAACCGCTATTAGTGAGGCGCTTCTTCACCTCCCCTTTCTCCGCATTTCAACGTTCCTTAATCTTAATTTCCTTAAAACTGCAACTCACTCTACCTCTACCTAAGCTCCTTGCAGTTTCCTTCAATATGTGTATCTCTCGGTCTATCCACTCATCTGTCTGTCTTTCTTCCTTGCATCTTTCTATTTGTCTACCTTATTTATCATCTATCGGCGTAATGTGCACTTATGAATAACTCATGAAAATGGGTGTACATCACAGTGTAAACTTACATATCATGGATTGTGCGCAATGAGTAAAAATGTGGAAAACTGTAGTAAAGGAGAGGCACATCCCTAGGCAGAACGACGTAAAGCAAGAAGAGCTAAACCAAGACAAGTGCAGGGGAGACGAGGGGAAGCGAAACGTGGCACTGAGGGTTACACCTGTGAAAGGAAGGAGAAAATGCAGCTGGAGTTGGACGAGTGGCCATGGAGCGAAAGCGACTCTAGTTCCAGCGACGATTATACTTAGCAAATAGATTGCCCTTGCGATCGCACAGACGTCACTGTGCCCTCAACTCCGCGGATACCAAAAACAGTTGTCTTCATAGACCTCCTGTGTAATTTCTTTCAAGTTCTGTTTGAAATTTGGGCCCTAGAGGAGTAAATAAGAGGGAACATCAAAAGATTGCGATGATGTATGGAAAGTATTGGGGGATCTTACTTTGTTGCCGAGATCAAGCTGATGGAAAGTGCGAAATGATACCACTACTACTGCTATTAGCCCCAAGACATTAAAAGGTACCTTAAAGACGTATGACACTGCTCCATTGCCTGAATGATTACCATATCAACCTTGTTTTTGGTGGTTTGTATGGTTAGACCATCGACGCCGCAAATCTACTGTTACACATTGCATCGACTATAGCGTCTTATGACCTAAACTCTAAATCTCCAGTCTCGAGCTGAAACGTCTCAGCGTCTCAATTGTGCTGCTTACCCCACACCCAGGTAGGTGATTTTGAACCGGCTGTGGCAGCATAAAGGTGTGAGCAGGAGGTAGATTTGAAGCTAAGGTAATGCGACTCCTATAATGTGAATTGAGTTGGGAAATAAGGAAAAATGGACTCTGCTAGACTTTGGATTAACTCACTCACCTATGTTTGAGAGTACGCCGAGATGCAGTGCTCCAGTGAGGTCGACAACACCCTCATCGGTTAGGGATGGAACTGCGAGGCTAGGTGGATCAGCGTCAACCGAGGTCGACACCCAGAGGTGTGAGTGTGCGTAGATGTGGTTGTGATCGTAGGTTTCCCACTAGGTTCAAGCAGCGATCTCTTGGATGGGATTTCTTTTAGGATAAATCTACGAGCTAGCAAAATGTGTGGCTTTGTACAATGGGAGTGAGAAAACTACTTAGTAAAACACACTTACAGTTGACAGCCACCTTGAGAAATCTAAGTGATGCCTGGATGAAATGCCATTTTGTCCCGTTGACTGTCATATAGTATTTATGGCGGCGAAAAACAGGTAGGTGGAGTAATGGGTGCAGGTAAATCGTATTCAGTTATCCAAATCAGGATGTGGTTGGCTTGTCGATCGTCGAATCTAAGAGCATACCCAGCGAATGAGTGAAAACTATATGACTTTGTAAAGGAGGTGAGCAAAACGACGTGCATATAAGGAAGTAAATCGAGCAAGCAATAGTGCACTGATCAGATTTCCTCTTTTTAAAAGGTAGTTTCACCTTTGATGCGCGGGCGCATTTGTGACATAGAGAGGGTTGGGAAAGAGAAATAACAAAAAGGGTTTGAAGTGTAGAGATCTATGAGAATTAAATTGTTTTGTAAAATTAAGCAAAAAAGTGAAAGATGAAAGACGGAAGAAGGAATGAGAGAAGAAGAAGGTCAATAATGGTTTGGGAAATAGCCGAAGAAGTAGTTTTGATGAGTATGAAGGTTGAAGACTGTACGATGAAGTCGCCATGTAGTTAACAGACAGGCCTCCCATCATGCAACGTGCTGAATCAAATGGATATTCTTTTAGATCAACACTACTGCCGATGAGCCGTTAATGAATAAATTGGAGTTGCAATGAAATACTCACTAACATTGACAATCACTTCTTCTACTGCTGCTCCTCCTTTACTTACTCCTGTCCACTTTCTGTCCTCATTTCCACCTTGCTCTCTCTCTTCTCATACACTTCATCACCGTCTTCGCATTACTTCTCTTCCATTGACTCCTCCACAGCCAAAACTTCACGCAAGGATCAAAAGGTAACGTAGAAAGTAGACTTTAGCAGCTTCTTTGCTGTTTCCCAAATAGCAATCTATCCCCTCTTCATTCCCATACCCTGTGTCATAATTGCATGAACTAAAAAATATTTTTTCAAAGTAAGCCGTTCTATTCAGCTTCCATGTGAACAGCGTCATGTTGAAGCCTGCTTCACCAGCATTGACCGTGTAAGTTTACGGGTGGGTGGGTGGGTGCGCCTAAATACTTCTAATACTGTCACCATATCATCACACCCCTTTCTCTTTACTAAATCAAGTCCGCGTCTGCCTCATTATGCTACCATCTTGTGTTTATGTACTTTGCGCAAAATTCATACACAGAATAAAAGAAAGCCTGAGGGTGTTTCTTCTGATCACCTTTTACATACAGTCTTTTATGAAATTCAAACTCGCAGCCATCTTGCGGCATGTTGCATCACACGGCATGTTGGATTGGTCTAGTGTCCACTTCAAAGACTCAAATATGTTGACAAGTTCTACATAATCGTTCACTATGGCTTAGGAAAAGGGCGTAAAAATATGCTGCTGCCTTATAAATCAACAGTTGATGATGATGCAGAAGCGAATTTAATTTACTACTCTACATATGGCGAGTAGTATCCAGTTTACGTGTTCATAATTTAGGAGTATACGCTGTCTGATTGGATTACAGAGGGGGTTGTAGGTGCCGCCGTAAACATTCACATATTGCATGATCTTCGTAAATGCTCATATTTTCGCCTTTTCAAAATAGCAATTTTGGTGGTATCTTAAAGCTTTTTTCCACCCGATTACAGTTGGTAGTCTTGTAATAAAAATGGGAAACTTAACATCTAAGCCTTCTTTTTTCTTGTCGTTTGTTCAACCATTTAATGTCTATCTTTACCAGTCATTTTTACAATTGAATGTTCAATAAATTTAAGATGTTGATACATTTACCACCACTGAACTTTAATAACGATGTCTGATTTTCATCCACATATTGTTGCTTCCAATTTCACTGGTCTTACCGGCTGATCTTAAAAGTGTGCTTAGTACCATCTTGTAATCACACTCACACACTAAGAATAAACATCAGGAAGATATCATCGCATTGTTTGCCAAAGGATGTTTCTGCATGTAGAGAGATGCATATATTATGACTTGTAGTCGAATAACTGCACAAACCTTCCTGATTTATTTTACTTTGTGTATTAGTGAGCTATCATTACCATAAAATCTTGGTGCGAACTGGTTCCACACTTCAACACCTATTTTTGCTGTCTGTAAAACAAGCCACTACTCTAAACAGCTTTTTCCTCCCTTTTATTCTCTAGCAGCCTGCTCTATGTGGCCTTTGATCATGAGGTTTTCTATCATCAAATAGAGCATCGAAAAACTCCATCCGGGTATAGGCAGAGTAAATATGGAGATGAGGAATAGGGAACCGTTTTACTTCCTTCCATCTTAGCCAAGAAGTGCACAAGTATAGCACTTGTTTTTGTATTATTTTACTAATGCTACCGCGGCCCAGGACCACAATGAGGTAGTAACATAAGATGCGCTATTTACTTTCGTGGTAGAACAAGATTTTGTGAAACAAAGATGTAATTAGTAATAAATCATCGCGAATTTATGCCTCACTTTAAAAATAATGTCGAGGGCACATTTACTCATCTTTGCGAGGAAGTGTAAAATCAAAAAAGTGGAACTGTCAGTTCTGCCCAGGCCGTGTTGACTTCGTCGTGTTTATTACAGTGAATGAGCCTTACTTACAGTCTACTTGTCTGACAGGAAATCTCAACTCCCAGTGTTTGTAGAATGTAAGCATTTGTCAGTAGGTTGTAGTACTTGAAATTCATCACTAATGCACCATTTGTTAAAAATGAGGTGAATATCTTGTTTATCGGGAATTCAGAGTGAATAAGAAAGGTAAAGAGACCGTCAGCTAGAGGATGATTATCTGGATATCGCTTTAACAGCCCTAATCATATTTTAAACAGAAATGGTACTTGTGTTTCCCTTCACCTTTGCGCCTTCTCCTTGTGCTTGGATCCTGACAAGCGTCCAACCAAAAAATGAGAATGCAGAGGCATCAATAGCGACGTTTCATTAAATGACCAGGCAAGGCTTAGGATGATAAACCTCATAGCGAAAGAGGAAGAATGTGTGCCACGAGTAAGATAAACTGCAAGATTTCCTAGCAGATGGTTAAAAAAATGATATCTACCTTTGGTAATTGCCCTAGTTCTCTGATCTGCGGAAATTCCACCATAGAATTAGTGACACTAGTCGTGAACCATTTGAAGTAGTTTGTGCTGAGCAATCTGTTGTACTTTTAAAAAATGAGAGTTAGGTGAGCTGCAGATATCTTCTCCACCTCTTTACTAGTTAAGCAAAATCTAGATGGATTAATGGTTAAGCAGCACCACGTAAAAACTACCATCATTGATTGACATCGGGTGTTGTTGGCAAACTTGTAAAGATCACGCTCTAAATACATTTAACCAAAGTGTTTTAGCTTTGCTTAAAGGATAATGGGATATTCAATGATTGGGCTGTGTTCACACGGGGAATTTGTACTGCACCATTAGGGCTGGGATGGTGTGCCTTAGCGCGTTTTGCTAGTAAAATTTTATGGATAAGCCGTCTCGATTGGGGTATGAAATGGATGAGATGGGATTCGCTGAGTCAGCACGACAAAAGTGAGAGCGAAATTTGGTCATTTGATCTCAGGCATAGATGAGAGTCATTATATAAATCCATGGAGGTAATTAATTTTGATTAGGTAACTTAATGTCCTCCTTCGTGACACCGAAGGAAGAAGAAGTTTTAAACATCATTGGCAATGCATTCTACAAATCCATGCTGTCTGTGTCGAGCCTCAAGTCCCATTTTATACTCGCCAGTTGGTTTCCAACAAACCGTTCCCCGCCCGTGTGCAATCTGTGCATTGTTCTCTAGTGACAGTAGCACAAAGGATGATGTGAAATTGGTAAGCAACTTCACCACTGGCATCGAATACCATTAATAGCTGGGTGGGTGTATGATGAGGCAAGTATTGCCTCCCATGTTTTCAAATGATGTCCCACATGCACATTTGTGGTGTCGCAGTCGAACTTCCTCCGCTTGCTCCTTTCCTCTACGTATTGCATTATTACAAGTAAGTAAAATCGGCATGCCACTTTTATGCAAAAGAACGTTTTTTTACTACAATACAAAAAGTATGTGAATTTGAGCTGTTGTTTTAAAGATGAACTACGTTGATCCCGTCTAGGGTTGGCATTTACACATGTCCACTTTTACTTAGAATAGCTCGACTAAGTTTAAGAGCACAGGCGCCTCCTTTGTTACTGTGTCAAAAGGACAAAAAAATGAATGGCGAGATATTTGTGCACAATTATAGACTTGGGAACAAATTACTCATGGAGCCACAAAATGTGATGTAGGTGTTAACACCTGAAATATTGCAATGTCTTGTGAATATTTGGTGCTCCCTTCTATGTGTCCGAAATCGTTCACTAAATCAAGCGCAATGGCATTTGGAAGCGACGACAGCTGACGCACAGACTGCAAAGGCTTAACTCCCATTAGCCAATCAACACGCAACTCCTCTGGTACTCACTTGTACCTTTCATCAGTCCTCGAGTGGCATCGCCCTATTTGGGTGTAAGGGAGAAGCCTTTGACATCAATGTGCGGCAATTGCTGCGTGAGAACGTCTTCAGTTTTCTCAACACTCCAATTCACATTTTCTTGTTGCCTTCGTCTGGGTGAGCATTAGTGGTGTAGATCTCACAAATCATGGCCATCTGAAAATGGTGAGGGTCTAGTACGGCTAAATTTGCCCTTGACAAAGGTGGAATATGAGGACACGTCTCAGTTGCGAGGTTAATTTTCCCATTAGAATTAATGTAATTCACCACCACTTCATCCACATATGCTTTTACCAGTAAGCTCACACCGTTTTCGCAACTTGCATCATTCAAGTGGGTGGAAGCATACATTCTCCAACTTAGTCAATCACACTGCACAGTTTCGTAGCTTCGTGTTTTGCAGGCCGAATGAAGGGAAAAGGTTTGGTTTGCAAGTTGCAGACTGTAGTAGAAGCAAACATCTATGCCACTGCCCATCAAAGGCAGTACTGTAAAGGAGACGCCAGTCATAACTGCACAGATGCTCTATCAACTTTAATTATTTTTATTATTTTTATTTTTACTATAAATTATTTTGTCAGGTACTTCTCTGTTCCCCTCCACCAATGTGTCTACCAAACCACTTCCAATTTCGCTCTCGCTCCCCTACTTTCCCGTTGCCTTTACTCCGGCACAAACATTGCGATGACATGTAAATTTGCCCGGTGCTCTACTTCATCACCTTAATCAAATCCATTGGCAATTGAATGAGACGACTGCTAACGTAAGTACTCCTAACGCGCGGTTTTGTTCAGCCAATCAAGAGGCGACTGGGCTAGTACCCACTCCTACCTTTCATCAGACCATGGGTGGCTCCACTCGATTCGGGTGTGACAAAGGGGCCCTCGAAAACAAAGTTGGCACTTCTGCACTGCTGCATTTCTATCGCCCGCACCTCAGTGTGGACCCGACACCACTGCTCACGTCAGCCCTCACCTACAGGCGGATTCAAGCCTGAAGCTACATTGTGCGGCATCACTTTCGAGTGCGCATTAGCCATTTAATGAGGCGATACATGGAACTGTGGCACCTCCTGATTGGATGAAGAATTCTAGCAGTTAGCGCTCACCAAGGATAGGTTAGTCAGGATCAGCTGCAGTTGATATAAAAGGTTGCAGCAGTCGTGGTGGTCATCATTATTCGACACAACGCTTTGGCACTTGTACCCCACACGAAGCCATGTCAACAGGTCCTGCTATTGGCATTGATCTAGGAACGACCTTCTCCTGCATTGGTGTTTTCGAACACGACAGGGTGGAGATCATAGCCAACAATCAGGGTAGCCGCACAACGCCAAGTTATGTTGCCTTTACGGATAAGGAACGACTCATCGGTGAAGCCGCAAAGGCCCAGGCTGACGCGAACCCCACCAATACGGTGTTCGATGCAAAGCGTCTGATTGGACGCGGTTTTGACGATAAGGCAGTGCAGAGTGATATGAAGCACTGGCCCTTCAAGG